CTGTCGGTCCGATCGGTCATGACCGGCAAAATTTGTCTGGACCGGTAAAATATTGTACTTTGTCGGTCCAAAGGACCGACAAGAGTTTTAAGAGCCGCCATTTTGAATTAACAGTTAGCGTTCGATGTGCTTCAGAAATAAAATTATATAAAATCCACATCATTTTTTCTTCCATTTACTAATCTAGTGACACGTAAAAATGACCACATTTCGGTCACATTCACTTACAAAGTACGCTAGCCAATCGTATTATCCCTCTCTCAAACGAATGGGTACTTCCCCATGGGGAATCCCCCTGCTCTCGATAATTACGCGCCGCGTCATTGGTATATTGGCCCCGACACACAGACAGCTATCACGAGGGCGGTCCACGCTGCCAAGCACATGTAAACATGCAGGAAAAAATGTTTACTGCTTAACTTGGACGTCTGACTCCTTTCTCAAGAACAATTATTCATATAGGAACCAAGGATAATGAGGCCTGACCTTCGAAGGTACGTATACATCGTTATTCGTTCTTTTAGGGAGAAAAAAGCGTTGATAGTAGCCTACATGGAAATGAGGTCACCCGATTCACTCAGTAAAAACGATTTCAGAATTATAGGACTGAATATTATGCGTAATCAATGGTGATTGTAACGATATTTAACTAATGGGTACTTTCGTTTGCATTCAGCTAATACGCGGCAGCTAATACGTAAAAAAAGTTTGACAGTTCGGTCTCTTCCTCGAACCTACCGAAAAAACTCGATCCGTGGTGTATNGTTCTACCAATAGATGTCCCATCAACAAGGAAATCAAAGATGAGCTAACATTTTATATCTTACCGTTTCTTTGACCACATATAGACGTTAAACTACACGTTTGCACTAAAATTCAGGAACAAACTTTGTTCATGTCTTTATAATTTCATTGTCTAAGGCGATCATTCACGACCAAAATAAGCCGTAAGCTGCCATGTCTTGGTGCACGTGACACCGAGTGTCACCTGCTTACACCTATTTCGAAGAGTTGCTCGAGCACGTGCGTTTGGTAGTCGTCAAAACAAAAAATAATGGATATTTAACAAGAATATTCTGCATAATACGCTTTCTTAGTCATGCAACTACCCGAGCCTATAGTGAACCAAGATTTTGGCATATTTTGACGAGACTTGAAAACTGTTTCTTGAAAATTATCGGTGCTGATTTCGGAAACCCCTCCTATCCGTACGCCACGCAGGTAAACGAGACAGAGCGGAGTTGCTTGCTGTGAAAAGGTAAAGGAAAGACTCGATTTGGACTGAAAGGAAAAACCTAAACACTTTCTCACATGATAATTTTCAACTCCTTCCACTATAGCATCCCAAACTCTACTGGAAATGCGTAGGATTCACTCACCTACTTGAATGTATATGTACACAGGAAAAGCAAGAATGCGGCAGGTGCACCATTTTCTAGAAGTCGAGCTACCATATTGTTATAGTCTCACCAGGGGCCTGGCGTACCTAGAAAGGACCATGAGTGTGAGGCCATCCAGCTTCAGTGAACATCCAATCATCAATTCCTGGACTAAAGTGGATTATTTTTTATACAGAAAATGGAGGCAGAAAACTTAGATTATGGTACCTTGTATCAGTAAAGCTGTCCATCTCTGAAATTTCTCCAAGGTCAGGCTAATTTTCTTTATTAGCTGGAATTTAGTTAAAAAACAAATAAAATTAATACAAACGTGAATTGCCACCTAGCAAAATATCAAGTCCTTTCTTGCAGTTTGCAATCATGTCACTTCTTAGTATTTAGATATATGGGGGTATTGAAAGCTTTTACAAATGAAAGAATTGCTACATGTGTCATGTAGTATATTATGTATTAAGTAGCAAATGTACATAGTAATGTATTGGCAGTAATAGTAAACCTTGGAGCCATTATTCAAAATAAATGGTATATAATGGGTCCAAGGGTAAAGTTAAATTATATATATATATATATATATATATATATTATATATATACAGATATATATATATATATATATATATATATATATATATATATCTGTTTTACTTTTCACTCATATTTCCACTTTTACCATGTTTTCTGAATTCTGACTTCATCAGCAGAACAACACCAGCTAGTTCATCAGCTATAGAAGCAACAAGGCCAAATCTTGTGATGATACTCCCTAGGATGGTTTTGTTTCACCTTTTTTGCATGAGAATAATGGGTAAGTTCATGTACACCCTCAGTTTGCTGTTCCCTTGTTTACCTACAGTAACTTTTCTGAACACCTGGACATTATAACTGATAAAATAAAATAATAAAAATTAGACATTCAAGGACATCTCCAATATAAAATATTAATTAGCCATTCTTTCAAACCATACACCCAGTAGTATTGTAAATCAGGTTTGTATTTCCAGGTCATGCTATGATAATAAAAATATTTGAGTTGAGGAAGAATTTGGCATACATGTAGTTGCCTACCCTAGGCACCAATTTCTAGTGTTTATCTTGGCTTATAACCTTGTTGAAGGGGCAAGCTTGAAGTTATCCATAGCCCATTTTCTTCAACAAAACATGATGGTATATCAAAAAGGGACCATATGCAGGACTTTTTTGCTTTAAAATGTACAGTTGACAAATTCCCTTTTTGCTGCAACAAATTTAATAGCTTCAGTACTTATCAGACATCACACTAGGACTTCCAAACTCAAAACTGCATGTTTAGGCTAAGAAAAAAATGGTTTAACCCAGGACTAATTGCAAAAAAATTGTAGTATGGTTTTTTTGAGTCTTTGAGTGGTCCATATGATCATATTAAAAATCTAGAAAAATCCAAGTAGTGGAACAGGTATTTTTTGGGGAAAATCCAAAATGGCCGCCAGCACAGTAGCAGACATGCTGAAACTGTCGGTCCGATCGGTCATGACCGGCAAAATTTGTCTGGACCGGTAAGATATTGTACTTTGTCGGTCCAAAGGACCGACAAGAGTTTTAACAGCCGCCATTTTGAATTAACAGTTAGCGTTCGATGTGCTTCAGAAATAAAATTATATAAAATCCACATCATTTTTTCTTCCATTTACTTATCTAGTGACACGTAAAAATGACCACATTTCAGTCACATTCACTTACAAAGTACGCAAGCCAATCGTTTTATCCCTCTCTCAAACGAATGGGTTCTTCCCCATGGGGAATCCCCCTGCTCTCGATAATTACGCGCCCCGTCATTGGTATATTGGCCGCGACACACAGACAGCTATCACGAGGGCGGTCCACGCTGCCAAGCACATGTAAACATGCAGGAAAAAATGTTTACTGCTTAACTTGGACGCCTGACTCCTTTCTCAAGAACAATTATTCATATAGGAACCAAGGATAATGACGCCTGACCTTCGAAGGTACGTATACATCGTTATTCGTTCTTTTAGGGAGAAAAAAGCGTTGATAGTAGCCTACATGGAAATGAGGTCACCCGATTCACACAGTAAAAACGATTTCAGAATTATAGGACTGAATATAATGCGTAATCAATGGTGATTGTAACGATATTTAACTAATGGGTACTTTCGTTTGCATTCAGCTAATACGCGGCAGTGCCTTCCGCATTGCGACGTTTTACGTAAAAAAAGTTTGACAGTTCGGTCGCTTCCTCGAACCTACCGAAAAAACTCGATCTGTGGAACAGGTATTATCTGTGAACATAATGGTTCACAGATTTTAAATATCCCGTAAGCATAAACGCGATACCTGTTACCAGTACCAGTTACAGTTTTCATATTATCAGTATGTACATTTTTATTATTTTAGATTATGATATCGTCGAGTCCTGACCAGGAAGCCGTTCGTTTCCATGCAGATGAGACAGATACAGTGAAGTGGCTAGCATGTTTCATGCATTGGCACTCCCATTCGGACTACAATCTTTACTTGTTTGTGTAGCATCAAAATTTGCAAATTATTTTCAAGGAAAGGAGAAATTGACCAAGAGCAAATTTTGCTACTGTTGAACAGTGGAAATGAGTTTTTTTCATTAAATTTTTTATCAAATTCATTTCAATTTGAAACAATATTAATTTTTTTGAGAAATTGATCATGATAAAATTTATAATTAACCTAAATTTATGACAGGGATGTGAAATATATGATGAATTTCTTTAAGCTGTAGTGCACTATTGAATTAAAGGACAAAGGACTAAGTGTGAAATTCAAGGACTTTCAAAGGAAGAAACAAAATCAAGCTCTTCTAAAGGCCTGTATGAACCCTGGAACTTGTGAAATGAGTACAACAATAAAGCAGTGCTTCACAAGTGTGTGTTTTTGTTTTTTTTTAATTTACAACATGTCCAAATTATTTAATAGTATTACTGAATATGTATTTACAAGAGTTACTTCTGTGTACTACTATGCAAACAAAACGTTTCCATTATTGAATGGACATTTTCGGTCCGGCAAAAGTCCATTCGGTCCGGCAAAGTTTTCATCACTGCCGGTCCGAATGTCCGGCAGTTCTGAAAAGTTTTCAGCATGTCTGCAGTAGTCTACAATAGATAATTGATTCCTTGCTCTTTGTGCATTGAATAAAAACTGGTTAAAAAGGTAAAATTGTATTAAGGGTTTTCTCTACACATATAACAAATGCAGATACATTCAACAAAATACAAAATGGCCATCAAAACCAAGATGGCAGCCGCAAATTACAAATCTTATGTATAAAAGTAACATGATTAAATATAGAAACAAGTTGAAAATTATACTTATGGACTTCTTACACCTATCCATTTTAGTGAAAGAGTGGTCAAGAATAAAATGCTATTCTACTATGATTTTTAAAGGTGCACTTTATGTGATTTGCCTGCGAAAATAAACTTGTCTAGAATACAGGGCAATTTTCTTCTACTCATAAATCATTGCCTGACCTGTTCCTACACTTAAATTAATTTTTTTATCCATAATATTTTGTTAACTGTTAACTGTTTGATAAGTTTTAACTGACTAGTTTAGAACCACACCTGACCTCACCAGTCATAGCTCAGTTTTTACTTAAAAACTTAAACAAATGATGTTGCGAGTTATCATGGCTTCGCAAAAAGGTTGAAAGATGACAACGAAACTATGTCTCCTTCAGGTAAACCTTTATTTAAATATTTGGCTAGATATGAATTGATCAATTTGGGTTACAAAGCTTTTGTAATTATTTTCAACAAATTATACAAAAAAAAACTTCAATGAATGTAACCAATAAATTAATCTTCATCATCTGAGGGGTCATAAACTTGTGAAGAATTGGCACAAGACCCTCTGCACTCTCCACAAGCTAAGGAGCATTCGATGTTGTTTTTCCGACAAGAGCATCGCAGATTGTAACAACCTGATTTGCAGTTGCATCTGATCATTTCAAGAATGTGCTGTGGAGCTGGGTCAATGTCCATTGCTATAGGCAGCATGTTTGCGCCCACTATTTCCCAACCCCATTCCAATGGGTCTAGATCTACCACTTCACTCATCCATGTCTGGACTTGATAATATACCCGAAGACTGTGATATTTGGTGGCATTAGATGTTGGTGGAAGTACCTGTGGATGCACAGGTGTTGTTTTACGGTAGGTTTTTTCACAAAAACGTCGTAGTCGAAGGCCATTAATAGCTTCACCTTCCTCGCCACCATATAAAGAGACTAGTGCCTGTTCACCGGCCTCAATTATCCTTTCTTGACATGAATTGTCACTGGCAAATGCAATTGCCTGCTGTTTGAAGAAAGGACTTCTCATGCGCATTAAAGATACCCGTTTTCCTATTCCATAGGGAAATGATGTTGTGTCACATCCTAAGATGGAATGGATGAAGAGAATATTGTTGCATACATCATTTCCTAACTTGGCCCTTGTTGTCCTAATGTTCCAGCACTTTGATGGTCTTTTGGCGTTGTTCTTTTGTTGTGGTTTAAAAAAAATGTTAAACTCCATGTCCTTGGCATGATACAGTAGGAGCACCAGAAGATCGGTGTCATCACCCACAAGGATAGTATCACATTTGTCTGAAGAGGCAACTGCAGCTTTGGCAATACTGAGATCTGCATCTCCTGCAGCTTGGATAACTTCGACTCCAGCTCGTTCCAACTTGTCACCAAGGAACTTGATGAACCTCTGTTTGTTTTCTTTGTTGGCAAGGAACTCTTCCTTTCTACTTTGCAGCTTCATTTCCCCAGTGAACATGACAGCTGTGCTCATAATACTGTTGGAACGTCTCAGGTGTGTAGAATCCTTAGTAGAGGGGCCATAAAGGTAACCGTCAAACACCACTACAGCTCTCTTATACCTCCTTAGGACATATGTGACATACTGGTGTGCAATGTCATTCCATGTAATACCGAAAGTCCAAGGTATGCGATGAAGCAGTGCCCCACCATCTAAAATATAATTGATGTCACCCTGTGGTCCGGGGTTGTCTAGTCCATCTGACCACATGGCTTGTGCTAGGGTTGCCTTATTGGATGTTCTTAAAGCAACCCGTGAAGCAAAGAGGGCTGGAGGGAAAGTGCAGAGCTCATAATTCATGATACTGCTACTGTCTACCCCAGCAGTAACTAACCTCTGGAAAATAAGATTGGGATCAACTGGTACAATCTCACCAGATATCTTGACTGTGGATTTTGTATCCATGGTGACTGCCTGCTCTCTCCTTCTAAAGGTAAATTCGTGGACGAGTTTGCCTTCCATGGACTTGATTATCTTTTCCCCCTCTTTAGCAGCAGTATCCACATTTGTGCAGTCGGGAGCCGTGATACCAGAAGAAATGGATCTCAATTCCTGACCTGACTGGCTAAAAGGATTTCTTACATTTAAATATTGTAAAATCGTGATGGTATCTTGTGCATCTCTAGTCATCCTGGCTTGGGTTGCCTCCTTGTGTTGTTCACTGGTTAAGTATTGCACAGATGTAAACTGCTGCATAGCATTACTGACTTCTGCACATTGAGGAGATGATAATACCCAGACATCTCTCTGTGTTTTGCTCATTCCCCTGCCTCTTGTCATGCCACCAGTAGACTTTAGGCTCCGCATAAGGACCTACACCAATAAAATAGGGTCATTTAATTTAATTGGGGCATAAAATACATGTAATTAAGTCTAGATGAAAATTAAAAATCAATATGAAATAGTTAAAACACTTGATCTGAATTCTGATTGAAATAAAAATTCACATTGGGAACATTTGTAATGATGTGATGAAAAATTAACAGGTCCTTTTATTACCTGTTCTATTACAAGATCAGTTGAAAGTCCTGCCCAGAATCTCTCTGAACGGCGCACAACATGTAGACCATGGATAAAGTGGTTGTACACTTCTGGTTTTTCATCCTTCAATTTGTCCATTTTGTTAAGGTACACATAAACAGATTTAGTGTAGAGATTGTGGCCTGCAGCAGCAAGATATGGAAGCATATTGTACATGCTCTGTAGGTGGAGCTTCCAATCTCCGGTCCTTTCTGCCTTGATAAAACACCGCAGGATATCTACCATATCCATATATTGTAGCCAGAGCCTTGCAGTTCTTTGGCTTTTCAAAGCTGCTTTCTTATCAGTCAGTTGCTGTTCTATCTTTTCCAAAACTTCACTTTCCTCCACATCTGATGTCCCTATTTCACCAGCCAAAAGGTCATTCATCAGTTGGGCCACAGCCTGGAGATCTGGATGAAGGCTGCTCTCTGTTTCAATCAACTGTACATCACCTTGACCGTTTGTACCTTCACTGACATCTGCATACTGTGTTTCATTGTGCTGTATCTCTTGTTGCTGAGCATCAGTAGCTGGCACACTTTCTGGAAAGAGCTTGGAGATGAGAAGTCCATTGAGGGCTAAATCGACTAACAGATGGGCTCTCACTGCCCTAGCCACAGCTTTCCCAGATATCACATGGGTTACTGTATTGGCAGCAAATATGGTTTCAAGAAGTTCACGAAATCCTGAGCCTGACATGAGATGACCTATGCATCCAAGGTAACTCATCTCTGTGTGGAAGCCACCAAGCCTTACAACTGCAGCTCGTAGTATGCTGGACTGTGGTTCGCTTTCAACAATAGTGTGGGCCTTCCACCACAGTGGTTGATCAAACGTGATTATTGGGGTTGCTCTGTACTGTTGAGCATGTAAGCAAATAAAATTCAATGTGGAATAGATGCATGAGAGGTCTGTTGGATCCATATCTATAAGAGGAAGAAACATTACAGATGCCTTTGCTGGGTGGTCACCTTTAGCCACCATTTGCATGTACCCATTCCACAGTGGTTTAGGCTGTTTCCGTAAGGCAGAAACGGACAGTTTCCACAAAAGGTCGGTTTTCTGATAGGATTCCTTGACATTGGGGTTTTCCAGTGTTTCATACTGCATGGAAAACATGCTCTCTCTGTCTGAAATGTAGGCGGTTATGTTGATGTTCCCAACAGCAGCAATATCTTCAGCTGTGACTTGCATCCGTGGTATCAGCTTTGTGGACTTGATTCCAGGAGTAACAGCAGCAATAATTCCCATGCCATGAAAGGTATTCTTCCCATCAATGGTGATGACATTGTGATCGACATTGTCCCCGGCATATTGGTGAAAGTGACCAGGAAAGTACTCTGGAAATTCTGTGCCTTGTGTTTCAGCGGAGTTCCTCTCATATCTTACTACTTCAGAGTAGGAGCAACAGAATCCATGCACATGGAGGGAATCAATCAGGAATCTGCTGCCATAAAGCTTATGTAGTTGGACACCCAAACCTACTTGAAGAGGTGCCAACAATACATTTGGTCTAGCTGATTGTGCAATTGCTTGTCCAATTGATGCAACTTTGATTTTTGACTCCTTTCCACCTACAATGATGCTCAGAAACATTCTAAGAGATTCTGGAAGGAACTGTATGTTGTCATCAACGGATGCCATTTGGGCAGTGCAAGGATAGACATCTTTTGCTGGTTGAATATCTTTTATGTCAATTTTAATCAATTTTGCTGCTGCTTCTATAATTTGCATTTTTTCATCACAACCAGATTTTGTTGAATTCAGGTGGAAGTCATGTAGGATTTTTGCAGCAGTCCTTTGAAGTGTAACAACATTGGGCATTCCGTTAACTTCTGATATTGTAATTTCATTACCGAAGTGTCTTTTAAGTTCTGTCTTCATGTGTTTTAAGGTATATGGCTCTGTCTCCCCCTGTAGCTCTTTCTGGAACTCAGACATTTTGTCCATTAATTTTTTCATGGTAATTTGTTCCTGTTCATTTTGTTTCAAGTATTCTATTACTTTGGAAAAAGCTGTGGCCTGCAATTCATTTCTTGGTCTTCCACTCAAACGTTTTTGCTTTGGGGGAGGATCTTCTACACTTCGCAATTTTTTGGGTATTTGTTTTCCCGTCCTGAAGTTGACATTGCATATTTGATGGTAGACTGCATCTGCAGCTGGCAAATCAGCAACAAACAACACACGAGCCCTAACCATATCTGACCATTCACCACCATATTTATCACATGCTTGCAGGATTTTTTCTTTAAACTCTAGGGACCTTATCGGGTGTAACTGGTATTCAGCTTTCTTTCCTTCATAAATATCTGGCGAGCCACAAAATAGACAGTGCGTGTGATACTCGAAAGTTGATTTTGCAGACCTAAGACTGCTTACGTTGTTGTTAGAAGTTTGATCTTCAGAAAATTTTCTTTTATTGTCTGATTTAATTACATTTGGATTTGTATAGTTGTTTCTACATTTAGCATGGACTATTTGCCCCACACTAGTCATAATCTTCTGATCCTGTCTCAGTCGACCCGCATGTTCAATACCACTACATCCCTTTTCAGTAAGTTTAACATTTTTTTGGTCATCTAAACATGGTTCCTCACAAAAGACACACTGTTCTAATTCCATGTTGATGTTCCTCACTGCTGAAATTGAAATAATTGATTAAAAAATATAAAATAGTGTAAATGAACCTTAAGTCATTCATTATGTCAATTATTTTCCAACATTTCTTTCTTTATATATGAAGTTTTTGTAGGGGAGATATGTTGCCATCATATACTTACTATAATTGAATAAGGGATATCCACTGTATTTGAGATTGATCTTTGAGATGAGAGGAACAATGAACCTCAAAAGCACAACTTCCTGTTACATGGTCTCTCTGAAGCATAGAAACACTATCATATAAAAGTAGATGAATTTAAACAGTGCACTGTATGCATGATAGCCTTGTAATGAATTGGTAGTGAATTCGGATGACCTGTTATGGTTGACTGCCAACTCCTGTGCTAGTTCAAAGCTCAACAGTACACTAGCTAAATGCACACAACAGGCTTCAGAAATTTTAACCCTGAATTTAAGGCTGTAATACATTTTACAGCTGTTACAATATTTAACTATAATCAGTGTTAACCTTTTAAATTTAAATTTCATAGAGCATATGACAATTATATAATTAAATCTATTCACATACCTTGGATTTCAGCAATTCTTGTGTAATACCAGCAGTCAAACATGGAGGTGAAAAACTTTTCCTGTCCTTCTTACGCAAAAGAGTGACATTGTGTTGGGTGTTACTGTTGATTGTGCTTAGATGTGAACAAGTTTTTAAAATGAATTACAAAATTTATTATAACTAGACTCATCGTTTATTCATCAACACAACAAAAGAACACTTGTTCTTGAGTTGAATAGTTACTTATGACATGTACACAGGTCGGGAAAATTAAAAATTTTATAAAACCTTATAAATACTATTACCCTTTCACAAAATCTGGCGGCCATATTGAAAAATGCATTGAACGGGTACATAGATGGGTGTAATGAAAACATGTAATAAAAAGTAAGTGTTTTCCAAATAAATACTGACATTTTGCATGGACATAATTGCTCCCAGAATAAAAAAAAAATCTATATTAAATACATACCTTATCGACTTATACAGAATTCTTATTTGTCTGATATTTCACACTTAGTCTCATATTTTTCCTTAGAAACCATATTTTGCAGCCAAACTTCACAGACTTCTTGTCAATGATATGATAGTTGTAGTTAACACCAAAAAATTCAAATACCAATCTTTAAAAACCTTTATTGCGAACTTTTATGCAACGTTTCAGGTAAAAATCTATACAAATGACCTTGGTTTGACCTTTGACCCCAAGCCACTGACCTTTGGTAAATAATTTCTATTAAATGAATTTTTCTATTCAGTCAGTAGGTTCTTGGCAATACCTCTGGCTATATAACAAGGTCCTATCTTCATTAATTTTAGCAAAAATATTCCAAAATATAAAGACACCCTTTAGCTATAGTGACTTATTACATTGGCGGCCATCTTGGAAAAACTGCCTTAAAAACCATTTTCCACTACTTAGATTTTTCTAGATTTTTAATATGTTAAAATTTGGATATTTAGCTTTCTAAAAAACATCGTTACAATTTTTTTGCAATTAGTCCTGGGTTAGGCCATTTTTTTCGCTCAGTTTACTAGACTAGTTCAAGATATATGTTTATAAGACCATTTTTATTTTCTGCTACGGAAGATAAGGAGAAATTGAACAAAATGCATTGTAATACTTACATTTTGAATGAAGCTCAATTGATTCGTCTGCTTGCGGGTAAAAAACAAATACGCTAAAATACACAAATTTGAGCTCTGTCGAGGATAGAGG